ATACTTTCCTTGTGTCTTTGGTGTTCTTCATTCTCCTTTACTCCAGGCGGTTGGGACCAACTGATGCATCTTAGATGGCTGCTTGCAAGCTTTTAAGACCCCAGACACCACTCACCAAAGTAGGATGCAGAACACTTTCTTAATAAACTTTGTTATGCCAATTGACCTAGATGCCCCCCTGAAACCATGGTCCCCAGACCCTTGCCCCTACTACTCTGTCCCTCAAAGTGTTTGGTTGTATGTATTCAGGAAACTTCTTAGCTTTTGGTTTAGTCCAGTTGTGCTGACTTCCCCTGTAGTGTGTGCTGTCCTTCTGTCTTAGTCATCTACGGCTGCTATAACAGAAACACCACAAGCCGATGGTTTTAACAAGAGAAATTTATTTCCTCACAGTCAAAGTAGGCTAAAAGTCCAAATTCAGGGTGTCAGCTCCAGGGGAAGTCTTTCTCTCTCTGTCGGCCTTCTTCTCATCAGTGTTCCCCTGGACTAGGAGCTTCTCTGCTCAGGGACCCCAGTCCAAAGGATGCAGTCTGCTCCCGGCACTGCTTTCTTCATGGTATGAGGTCCCCCAGTCTCACTGCTCACTTCTGTCTTTTATATCTCAAGAGATTGCCTCAGGACACAGTCCAGTCTTGTAGATCCAGTCCTGCCTTACTAACACAACTGCCACCCATCCTCCCTCGTTAAAATCATGGAGGCAGGTTTACAGCATACAGGAAAATCACACAGTACCAGGAATCATGGCCCAGCCAAATTGATACACACATTTTTTGAGGGACATAATGCAAACCATGACACCTTCCCTTCACCTAAGATAATCTTGTCTACTATCTAGTTAGTGAATACCCGCTGCCTCCCTCCCCACCCTTGTAACCATCAAAGAATGTTCTCTTCTTCTCCCCCAGTCCCTGTCTTCTCTTGGTCCCTGCTCTCTCTCCCTTGGTTTGTCTTTCTCATGGTCTCTTTCTCTCTTTCTCCACCATTATCTCGATTTCTCTGTCTTCCCCTGTTGTCTCTGTGCTTCCCTCTTTTTACTTCTGTCTCTCAGTCTCTTTCGGTGTGTTTCTCTTTCTCTTGGTCTCTCTCATTGTTGCTATCTCTGTCTTTCTCTGTCTCCCACCCTGGGTCTCTCTTGGTCCTTGGTTTCTTTCTCTCTCACCACCTCAATCCCTCTTCACTGCTTCCGCCTCCCCCGTTTCCCCATCCCCCTTCTCAGTCCCCCCACCCCCACTCTGTCACTAAGACCTCAGCCACTCCACCAGTCATCACTTAAGCCTCCAGTCATCACCCAGACCCTGGTTCCTCTCCCCCAGCCCCTGCCCGCTAGCCCCAGCAGAGGGGCCAAGGAGAGACTCCACCAAGCCCAGCCTGTCCTTGAGGTGCTGAGCAATTTCACACCCCCTTTCCCACTCCACTCCATGAGAGCAGCCTTTCCCAGGACCCAGATGGCGCCAGGAATGTGGAGCAGAGAGCAGAGAGGCCAGCCAGAAGCCAGGAAGTAAGGACTCCCCCTGAGCCTCCCCCGCCTGGCCTCCTTCCAACATCTGGTGCTGGTCCTCCCGCCACCCCTTACTCCCTGCTTTTCTTTGGGCCTCTTCTGAGCCTCAGTTTCTCCTCGGCAAAATGGGCAGACTAGACCCTGCCCCCCTTCTCTTAGATCCCAGGGGAACTCGTGCTCGAGAATGTTAATCGCATGATTGATTGATGGGCGACCATTTGTGGTTTGTGTTAAAGGGACACAAGGATGCTGAGAACTGGGACTCAGTTTCTAAGCCTTCTCTCACATACAAAATTTCAGACAAAGGAAGAGACTGGAAGTAGAGATCCTAAGAAGGTGTGTAAATCAATGGTGACCATGACCGTGGGACTGGGTGAGACTAGGGGTTAGTGTGTGACCCTGAGTGTGATTGTGGGGTGGTGGAATCATGGTATATGACCCTGTATGTGACTGTGTGTGATTGTGGGGTGGTGGGATCATGGTGTGTGACCCTGTGTGTGACTGTGCGTGATTGGGGGGTGGCAGAATTGTGGTGTTGACCCCATTTGTGACTGTGTGTGATTGTGGGGTGGTGGGATCATGGTGTGTGACCCCATGTGTGACTGTGTTTGATAGTAGGGTGGTGGGGTCATGATGTGTGCCCCCACTGGGTGACTGTATGTGGCTGCCAAGTGTGAATGGGGCTGTGATGGAGAGTCATGTGTCTGTGTGATTCGACCGCATGAGGGAGGGTGGCAGTGTCATGCTGAGAACTTGGGAGAGTGTGTGCCTTAGTGACAACAGGACGTGTGTAGGGGTGACTCTGTGGACTCTGGGGGTGATGATGTTAAGTGTGTGAGATTGTGTGTGAGAGTATCAATGGGTGTATGTACAACATTGTGTGTGACCTTCAGGTTGTGTCACTAAGAAACCAGTGACTATGTTAGTGACCATTCAGCCGTGTGTTTATTTCACCAACAGTCGTTCCCTGAGCCCCTGCTCTGTACTCAGACCTGTGTTGGGCTACACTGGGGACCCAGCAGTGACCAAGATGCCTAGCCCTGCCCTCATGGGCACACAGGCCATTGGGACAGACGGATGGTGGTTGTGATGTGACCTAGTGATTGTGTGGACATGTGTGTGTGACAGCATCACCGAGACCAGGAAGCTATGATTGTGTTACTGTTGGTACAGAAGTCCAACACACTCTGGGCATGTGGGTACGTCACTGTGTCCGCCTGGGGGTGAGAGACTTTGACTCTCTGGGTGTGATTGTGGGAATGTCCACCTGTGAATGACACGTGACTCTGAGTAAAACCGTGTGTGAGATTCTGCAACGGTGTCTCTCTGTGGCTCAGGGTATGTGTAAAAATGGCGTGGCAGGGGCGTTTGACCTCGACTTCACGAGGGGGAAAGAGAAAAAGATCAACAGCCCAAAGCTGATTCCTATGAGGTGGAGGTCAGACATACTTGCTCTCGCCAGTCCTTTTTACCAGTTCTGACACCATCCGTCCCTCGCACGGCCCTCTCTTCTTCTCTGCTGCGTTTGATAATTTGTTGCAATGGCCACACAGAACTCACAGACAATACATACGATTACTTACGGGGTTTATTAGGGAAGTAACACGTTACATTTCAGGTTCAGGAATGCTCAGGATACAGTTCTTCCCTCAGGACAGCCTCTTCTCAGCTGTGCCCTCAGGCAGGTCTCTCCCTGGCCCTCGCCCCTCAGACCCTTGGCCCAGCCTCTGGCCTGCTCAGGCAAGTGCTACAAAGCTCTTTTAGCTCTACCAATAAGTGCCCAGTGGCACCCCACTCCACCAGTAAGCCACCTGCCCGACAGCGCTCAGCTTTCTCGCTCTGTGGGCCAGGAAGATCACTGTGCCGTCTCCTCATGGTCTCCTGTGGTCTCCTGCCACCGCTGCCACCGTTTCCTTGCTGCCGCTTCTTGCCATCTTTGGTGTTATAGCTCTCTCTTCACTCTCCTGGTTCCAGGAGCTTCTCAGCGCAGGGATCCCGGGTCCAAAGGATGCGCTCCACTCCTGGCTCTTCTTTCTTGGTGATGGTGAAATCCTCCCTTTCCCTCTCTGGAATGGCTCATTTTAAGCCTAGTGCGTTGGCAAAACTGACCAATCCCTTCGTTAGGGTTCCACATATCTTATTTGCATGCTCCCCCTCAATCATTGTGTGTGAATCACAAAGACTATGACTAGAAGTGCCATATTAATTAATTGCACTGAAGTATGGGTTGTGTGTGACGCTGTGCGTGTGACTTCGTGGCTGTGGCTCTGTGTATAAGTGACTGGGTGGGAGGTGTGCTCTGTGACTAGGGGGTTGTGGGTGGGACAGTGAGAGACTGTGCATGGGGGGGGGTCCTTGGGACGGTGAGGACATGACTGCTCTACCACATGACCTGGAGTGACTGTGATACTCACACGCCATGGTCCGCCTGGGCTGGGTCTTGGCTGGAGCTCTCCCTCCGGTTCTGGGTCCCGCCCCGTCCCTGCCCCCTCCCACCACCCCAGGCTGCCAGCGCCTGTCGCTTCTTCCAGAGCCCAGCGAGGCAGTGGAGGCAGCTGCAGCAGCAGCTGAAGCAGCAGCAGGAACAGGTGAGTGTGAGAGAGCTTGGGGCAGGTGAGGACTCCCCCAGTCCTAGCCTGTCCCTTCTGCCCCCATCTCCCCCCTCCAGTCTCTGGGTCTCTCACTCTCTCAGTCGCTCAGTCTATGCCTTTGTCTCTTTCTGTCTCTCAGTCTCTGTCTGTTTCTTGGGGTCTCTGTCTCCACGTCTTTCAGTCTCTGTTTAGCCTCCAGATCGCTTTGCTTCTCTGTCTCTGTCTCTTTCCCACAATCTCTCCATCTCTCTCCATGTCTTTGTCGCCTCTTTTTCTCCTAGTCCACATATTTGTCTCTTTCTCTGTCCCTCGGTCCCTAGTCACTCGCTGTATGTCTGTTTCTCTGTGTGTCTCTAGTCTCTGTATTTCTGCCTGGTATGTCTCTGACTGAGTGTCTGTGTTTCTGGGCTCCGTCTGAGATCCCTGCTTTCTTCTTCCCCTTTCCCTAAATGGTGCCTGGGAGGCAGGCGGGGGGTTTTGGAACGGAGCTTTCTAGGCATTGAGCCCCTGCAGAGGTAAGCCAGGGTCTGACGCCTCTCTAGTCCCTAAGGATTTGGATGCTGGGAGACAGGCTGTCCCGCCGATCCTGGGCTTTCTCCACAGCGGGGAAAGTTCCTATCCGCCATTTGAAAAACCGCCGAGAGTGGAAACTCTGATGGGGTCTCACGCTCCCCTCCAGCCTTAGCTGACGGTGTCTACTCCCTCCTCTCCAAGGCGGTTCCTAGAGTCTCTGGGTCTAGACTCCAGGGGACACGGGCGTTTCCGCCCAGCGCAGCTCTGGGGCAACAGCCCCCTCAGCAAACACCCCCACCCCACGTCCACTGCCGTTGCCAGAACAACAAATTGGGGGCGGGCCCGGCCCCGCCCACTCCTCACGCCTTCTCCCCCCACCCCAATCGCGCATGGGGGCGGGGGTGTGTGAGGTGTGGGCGCTGCCTCCATGTCGAAATCCGTGAGTCCCCCAGGTTGGGGGCGACCGGGCTGGTCTGCAAGGCTGGAGGCGCCTGACTGCCTTGGGACCCTCCAGGCCGGACCACCCCCGCGTGACCTGACCCTTGGTCCCCCATGCCCCGACGTCTGCAAGATGCTGAGCCCTGGGTCCCGGCGGCTGCTGCTGCTGCTGCTCTCGCTGTGGGGGCCGCTGCTTCGGAGGGCGGAGGTGAGGACCCGTGAACCGCGCGAGTTCAAGGCTGGGAGGGAGGTTTGGGGACGGTTTTAAGTCTTCCCCCGTCAGCGACGAGAGTTTTAAGACTGCCCGGCTTCAGCAGAGGCATATCTACGGAAAATAGCGCCTATGGCAAGCACTGAAATTGCGTCCCTGTCCAACCATCTGACAGCCATCTTTTAGAGAACTTAATCTACCATAATATCAGCTGAAAAATACAAGTCCAGCTCGTTAATCTTTTACGTAATACATTATGGCACCACCCGAAAATTACAACCGCACTTTCCTTGCTTTCACCAATGAAATTTGGTCTATGACCTGCTTAAAGCCATTTTTTTCAGTTTCTGCTCTTTGTACTCAGCAGAGCAAGATCACACAGTCTGCCTTGACCCGTGGAGTCTCTCAGATACAAAAGTATTAGTTTTAACTTGCTGAAAGCTCTCTCACAGCTGGCCATGGAACTGCTATGGTTAATAGAAGCTGCTCAGTGGCGCCCGCCACCACCGCCCCCCCAAGTGGCACCCAGGGCACGTGCCATACCTTAGACAAGCCTCTGCCTTGCCCAGATTCAAGTTCTGATGATTGTTTCCACTCCCTGGTCTTTCCCCCATAGATCCTCCTTAAGGTTTCCAGCCACCTCCTTCCTAATTTTCTTGAAAGTTTTCAGGCCCCCCCTCCCCCCACCGCCCAGCAATACCTCTGGCGGTTTCTAGACACCCCCTCCCAAAAGCCTCCACAGTGTATTTGGTTTGTTTGTTTTAATAGATTTTATTTTTTAGTCCAGTTTTAGGTTTACAGAAAAATTGTGCAGGAAGTACAGAGAGTTCCCATAGGCCAGCTTACCCCCCTGCACACTGTTTCTCCTTTTATTAACATCCTACATTCTTGTGGTAATTTATTACAATGGATGAACCAGCCTTGATATATTATTACAAACGAAAACCCACAGTTTACATTACGGTTTCACTCTGTGTTGTACAGTCTCACAGGTTTTGACAAATGCACAATGCCGTGTGTCCACCTTTGCAGTATCACACAGAACGGTTTCACTGCCCTAAAAATGTTCCGTGCTCCACCTGTTCATCCCTCCCTTCCTCCCCATGAGCAATCACTGATCTCCCCTGCGGCTCTTAACTAGCCCCTCCAACGACCTCTGGGGTGTTTCTGGCCCACACGAAAGGTGCTGCCTGGGAACGAGGTCGGTCTGGCGGGAGGCTCCTTTCTCTCCTTTCGTAGACAGGCTCTGAGGGGCAGACGGCGGCAGAGCTGTACCAGCGCTGGGAACGGTACCGCCGGGAGTGCCAAGACACCTTGAAGGCAGCGGCGCCCCCCTTAGGTGTGGCGTGGAGGCTAGTGGCAGGGGGTGGGGCTAAGGCTGAGGGGGCGGGGTTTAGGGCGGTTCTAGGGTTGCCGGGAGGGGCCTGGAGCGAGGCTTGGAAGAGGAGACATCGGTGGTAGATGTGGGCTGGGTCCGAGGGGCCTGAGTGGAGCCTGGAGTACGTGCGACGGGCCTAGACGTGAATACAGAGGGGACTGGGGCAAGCCCCTATTGGTGGGAAAGGCGGAGAGGAAGTTTGTAATGGGAGGAGTCTTGGGCGGGGCTTGCACTAAGAGGTGGGGGCCTCAAGTGGACCACCAAAGTGGTGGAGTTTAGCGCGGAGCCTGGGGAAGGCCTCTGTGATGGGCAGAATATGGGGCGGGGACTTGCTCAGTGGGAGGGGCCCAGATTGCGGCGAGGTGGGAGGGGCCTTGGGCTGGTGGGAGGAACTTTTTCCTGCGCTTGGACCAGAGCCGCTCCAGGTGGGTGGGGCTAGGGCGAGGCTTGGGAGGGAAAGACTGAGCTGGCGCTGGATGAGCTGAGCCCTAGGTCCACTCGGTGTCTGCCCACCACACCCACCCCTAGGTCTCGCCTGCAACGGGTCCTTCGATATGTATGCCTGCTGGGACTACGCTGCACCCAACGCCACTGCCCGCGCCTCCTGCCCTTGGTACCTGCCCTGGCACCAGCACGGTGAGGCGCCCCCTGGACCCCACCCCTCCCCAGACACAAAGACCCCCGATCCGTGCCCTAGACACCCCTCCAGGTCACCTACACCCCATCTCGTGTTCCTCTCTGTCTGACTGGGTTTATCCTCTGTGAGTCCAACCCTGGCTGGGTGACCCTGACCCTGGCACATAATGTCCCTTCTTTGTCTCCCTATGTCTCCCAGGGCAAGATTCTTTTTTAATTTTATTGTGCTTTAGGTGAAAGTTTACAGTGCAAATTAGTTTCTCATTCAAAAATTTATACACCAATTATTTTGTAACATTGATTGCAATCCCCGCAATATGTCAGCACTCGCTCTTAACACCCCACGTTCCCCGTGTCCATTCGTCCAGTTTACCAGTCCCTTTCTGCCTTCTCGTCTTTGCTCTTGGGCAAGTGTTGCCCATTTGTCCTCATGTGCTTGACTGAACTAAGAAGCACTTTCCTTATGTGTGTTATTGTTCGACATTCTTTTCTATTCTTTTCCTGAATCTGCCTCTCTCTGGGCTTCTTGGTCTTCCTGGCCTCTGTGTCCCTCAGTAGCTATGTGGCCTTGGGCAGGTTTAATTTTTTTGTGCCTCACTTTCCTCGTGTGTAAAATGGGGCTGATGATATTACACATTTCATAGGCTTGTTATGAATATTAAATGAATTAATGCATGTAAAGTGCTACATAAGTATTTGTTGTCATCATCACGTTGGCTGTCTCTCCCTGCCTTTGTCTCACAGTGTGTCTTTCATTCTCTCTCTCTGCCTCTATGCCTCTGATCCCCCTTCCTTGTTTCCCCACAGTGGCCACGGGCTTTGTTCTCCGCCAGTGTGGCAATGATGGCCAATGGGGACCTTGGCGGGACCATTCCCAGTGTGAGAACCCAGAGAAGAATGCAGTCTTCCAGGTGTGTAGATGTTGGTGGGCAGGGGAAATGTAGGTTAAGACGTTGAAGAGGAAAAAAAGGGCAGTACCCTCAGGCCAAGCCTGAAACCCCTGGCACTGTTCAGGACTCTGGGTCGCAAGTGATAGAAACTCAACTCCAATTTGCTTAAAGGAGAAAGAAAGAGAAATGCATTGGCTTCTGTGATTGAAAAGTATAAGGCTACAGCTTCAGGCACAGCTGGATCTAGGTGCTCGAATGATGTGGTTGGAAGTCTGTGTCTCTCACCATATCATGTATGTTTTCCTCTGTGCTGGCTGGTCTTAGCTCTCCTATGGAGTGGCAGAGGTGGCCCCCATTAGCACCAGGCTTACATGCCACCAACCAAGCAACACTATGGAAAGACCAAGTTTCATTCTCAATAGCTCCAACATAACATCCCAGGACTAACTCTCATTGGTTCGGTTTGGGTCATATGCCAGCCCTGAACCAATCACTGTGGGAGGTGGGTGTTAGAATACTCTGATTGGCTGGGCATGCATCACATGCCCAGCTCTGGAGCTGAGGGGTGGAGTCTGCCCCACCCAGGCAAAAGTACATGGTTCCCCAAGAGAAAACTGGGCTGCTGGCAGGAGCAAAGAGCCCCCTTCTAGGGCTGAGGGAAGAGCTGAGTTCTGTTCCCATGTCTTCCTCATCCCCCTCCCCCACCCCACCCCCAGGACCAAAGGCTGATCTTGGAGCGGCTGCAGGTCGTGTATACTGTCGGCTACTCCCTGTCCCTTGCCACGCTGCTGCTGGCCCTGCTTCTCTTGAGTGTCTTCAGGTAGGGCCCCCATTTGCCCAGTAAGATGGAGTGGTCAGACTCTACAACTTCCAAGCATCCACTGGCAGTTCTATGGGAAGGGCTAGGGGTGGTTTATATGTCTGAGGACAGGTCTCCAGGGGTCCCCAGACTGCCTCCCAAATCTCCCAGGAGACTGCGCTGCACTCGCAACTACATCCACATCAACCTGTTCACCTCGTTCATGCTGCGGGCCGCAGCCATCCTCACCCGAGACCGTCTGCTGCCCCCTCCTGGCCCCTATCCTGGGGACCAGGCCCCGACCCTCTGGAGCCAGGTGAGCATGATTCCACTGCTTCCTCAAATGGGAACCTGCCCTCTTTGGTTGGGTCAGGAATTTCCCAATCCATTTACTAACTCCTACGCCATCAATGGGGGCAGTGGTGATTTAATGGTAGAATTTCCTGCCTTCCATAATGCGGGAACCAGGCTTGAGTCCCAGCCAATGCACCCATCAGTCAGTGGAGGCTGCATGTTGCTTTGATGCTGAACAGGTTTCACGAGAGCTTCCAGACTAAGACAGACTAGGAAGACAGGCCTGGCAATCTGCTTCTGAAAATCAGCCAGTAAAAACCCTGTGGATCAAAATGGTTCAATCATATTATGCGTGGGGTCCCCGTGAGTTGGGGGCTGACCGTACAGCCACTAACAACAACAACAACACTATCAACACTGTATCTCTCTAGGCTCCTCCAAATCCATTTGGAAAGGCACCCTCCCAACTCAACCCCCCCCATCATTGAATGAACTCTCCCACCTATCATTTAACTTTCCCACCTCATCACCCTCTATATTAGAATCCATTTCTTCTCTCCGATTATCTCACCCATGCTTGGACTTTTCCACCAATGAGAGAATCCACATGCTGGAGGTGAGGTGGGACAGGATGGGAAAAACCAGTTGGTGGGGGGATTTGGTGACACCAGTTGTTACTTGGAGATAAAGCAGGAGAAGATTATTAGAGGGTAGGGTACAGGGGGTGGGAGAAACTATCTGGTAGGGAGACTTAGATAGTTCCAATTGTTCCCAGGCAATAGAGTGGGAGAGACTATAGGAGCTAAAGTGGTAGGGTAATGAGGTGGGAAAAGCATCTGGTGGCAAGATGGGCCATACCATTATTACCAAGCCATGGAGGTGGGAGAGTCCATATGCTGATGGGAGAGGGTGGTGGATGGGAGAAAACTTTTGAAGGGTAGAGTAGATATCAATTCTTAGAAGGAGCTGGGGTGGGAAAGACCATATTTTGGCTTTGGAGGATTTGAGGAAAACTCTGATAGCAAGAGGGAAGATACCAATTGTTAAGGAAGTTAGAGTGGAAAGGTCTATTTAGGGGAGGAGATTAGAGTGAGTGAACCAACTAGTTGTGGTGGAGTTGATTCCCGCTCATGGTGACCCCATGTGTGTCAGAGTAGAACTGTGCTCTATAGGGTCTTCAATGGCTGATTTTTCCAAAGTAAATTGCTAGCACTTTCTTCCGAGGCACCTCTGGGTGGACTCAAACTTCCAACCTTTTGTTTAGCAGCCATGCACGTGAGCCGTTTGCACCATCCGGGGACCCCAAAGTAAGAGAAATTAACCCTAGATACCATCCATTAAGGACGTAGAGTGGGAAAAGAATATTCGATAGTAAGAGATGGTGGTGGAAGGGGGGACGCCCTGGGAGTCGTGACTGCCTCCTCCCCTTCTCTGGCTGCCCCCTAGGCCCTAGGCGCTTGTCGCACGGCCCAGATCATGACCCAATACTGCGTGGGCGCCAACTACACTTGGCTGCTGGTGGAGGGCATCTACCTGCACAGCCTCCTAGTGCTCGTGGGAGGCTGCGAGGGGGACCACTTGCGCTGTTACCTGATCCTCGGCTGGGGTGAGCCCCGACCCCGGCCCCAGCCCAGCCCAGCCCAGCGCGCCTCCGCCCGCCCTTGACTACCCTGCTGGTTGACCTCAAGGAGTCTCCTCCCCTCTCCAGGCTTGGCCTCTCCACCTCGGCTGGGGCATTCCGCGGGTCTTGGGTCTAATGGGGCCCCTGCGCGCGCTGACAGTTGCGGCGGGGTGGGGGGGCGGGGCTGGGATTTGCACAGGGGCCCCCGCGCTTTTCGTCATTCCCTGGGTGATCGTCAGGTACCTGTACGAGAACACGCAGTGAGTTGCGGGGTCTGGGGCAGGGCCTGGGAGGTGGGCAGGGCTTTGGGGGTGGCCAGGAGTTTTGAGGGAGCATGGGCGGTGCTTGGAGGAAGTGTGGGCGGTGCTTGAAGGGAACGTGGGCGGTGCTTGGAGGGAACGCGGGCGGGGTCTAAAGGAATTGGTGAGCTGGGGACTATTCGAAGAGAGGGTGGGTGGAGCTGAATAGTAGTGGGCGGGGCTTTAAATTAATGTGGGCGAGGCCTTAAGGAAGGTGGGCGGGGCCTGACGAGTGAATGTGCAAGACCCTGTGAGTATACGGGCTTGTCTGTCTCAGCTCTTCGCCCCCGTCTCCCAGGTGCTGGGAGCGGAACGATATTAAAGCCATCTGGTGGATCATCCGCACCCCTATCCTCGTGACCATCTTGGTATGGCCGGCCCCACCTCCTCCAGGCCGTCCTCCGGGATTTCCCGCCCTGGGAAGCAGACGTCCTCTTTCCTCTCCACCCCCGAGGAAGGAGTGGGACTGGTTCAGCCTCTATCTCTCCCTGCAGATTAATTTCCTCATCTTTATCCGCATTCTTGGCATCCTCGTGTCCAAGCTGAGAACGCGGCAGATGCGCTGCCCGGATTACCGACTGAGGTGCGGGGGGGGGGGGCTGGGGCGGAAGGACATGGGACACGGGGTGTGATGGCGCCTGGGACGCTGGGTCACTGCTGCCCTCTATCCCCAGGCTGGCGCGCTCCACGTTGACGCTGGTGCCCCTGCTGGGTGTCCACGAGGTGGTGTTCGCGCCCGTGATGGAGGAACAGGCCCGGGGCACCCTGCGCTTTGCCAAGCTCGGCTTTGAGATCTTCCTCAGCTCCTTCCAGGTGCGGGGGTGGTGTGCAGGGGTTCTAAACCCGTTGACCTAGGACCCTCCTCCCCAGTCATCCTCTGGCCCAGCCGCTGAGTGGGGCTTCCTCGTTCACTGGGATTTCATCATTCATTCAGCACACAATACTAAGCTAGCGCTGCCTGGGTTGGAGAAAGTGGCTGGGACCAAGACTGAGTCGCCCCAGCAGTACTGCCTCCTGCTCTTCACAGAGCTGGGACTCCGAGGCCTGGCAGACCTGAGGCCAAATTCAGGCTCTGTCACTTCCCAGATGCTTCTCCTTCCACGCTGGATGAGTGGCGTTGGATAGATGTCTTCACCTTAAGGTCGGGACTAGGGTGAGGCAAGCAGGTGCCTGTTGTTAGTTGCCCTGGAGGTGATTCCAACTCATGGTGACCCCAAGTGTTACCGAGTAGAACTGAGCTCCATAGGGTTTTCTCTGCATGTGGGGTTGCCATCAGTTGGAATCAACTTGTTGGCCACTAAAAACAACAGTCTTAATAAAAGTAAATCACCAGGACTTTTCTTGTGCAGTACCAATGGGTGAGTTCGAACTGCCAACCTTTCGGCTGGTAGTGGAGTGCACGTCCTCCGTGTTCACCACCCAGGGACCTAGCAGGTGCCTAAGGCACAAAATTTCAGGGAGCAGAATTTCTGTTTGGGGCAATGGAAACATTTTGGAAGCAAAGAGTGGTGATGGGTATACAATATTGTGAGTGTGATTAACGCCACTGGATTGTACACTTGAAAGCGGTTAAAATGGCAAATTTTAGGTTGCGTTTATATTTTACCACACACATACACGATTTTAAGGAGGCACTCTTTCCAAAATTTAAGGCCAGCCCTGCACTTGCTTGCCTCACCCCAGTCCTGACCCTGCTTCACTTTGCGGAGCCTCAGTTTTCTCACCTCTAAAGTGGGGACAATACTGGCCTTACCTCACAAGACTGTTCATGCATCCAGCAAATATTTATTGAGCACTTATTACGTGCTAAGCGCTGGTCCAAGCTGACTGTGGGAGTACAACCAAGAACCAAATAGATAAAGGCCCCTCCCTGCCCTCTGGTGGTAAAGACAGACCTTAAATATAAAACATACAAGTAACATGTACAGAATGGAGCCCTGGTGGTGCAGTGGTTAAGAGTCAGGCTGCTAGCCAAAAAGGTCAGTGGTCTGAATCCACCAGGCCCTCCTTGGAAACTCTATGGGGAAGTTCTACTCTGTCCTATAGGGTCGCTAGGAGTTGGAATCGACTGCCGGCAAAGGGTTTCAGGTTTTATGTACAGAAAGTCCAATGACATG